CTTTTGCAAAACAATGTTGGGAGTGCAGTGAGTTCCTGTTGGCTAGCTAATTAGCGTTGATGCCTGCTTTGGTAGCGCCCTGCCTGGGGCTGTTTATTTTACCGAGAGGCACGATAACTCTCGTAACATTCACTTTTTCTTTTTATTACCATTTTCTTCTTTCTTTTTTGGGTGACTGTGTGTTTTTTGTTGTTGCACAAGGCAGAAAGTTTGAGGAATTTTCTCTTCTTTTGGCCATACAAGGTAGGAAAGCAGGAATGCTGCTTAGCCTTTTATTAACCAGGGATTATTGCTCTGCTTTCTATTTAAAGGAACTTTAAGTAGCAGGAATAGTTTTACAAGCAATCTGAATGGACCTATTAACACAAAGATGGATGATTAACCAGAAACCGATCCAGGCCTGCTCCAAATGCTTTTAAATATACCTTTGCAGCGTAAACCACACAGAAGATACATAAACTGAGTTTCCCTTTGTCAATTCACGACTCTTTGTGTCTCTGTAAAAGCGATTTCACCTGAGATATTCGAGGCATATCATAATGAAATACAGACAGCAGTGGGATGGCGCCGCGGTACCTGGGACTAATTAGATGCTCCTTTCCCTATGACCCAATAATACAGAATATTTTATTCAAAACCCATATTCGCATAACACCAGCCAAAATGAAAGCGGTGTCACAGGAATCACCTGTCACCTAAAGAGCGCAATAAGGCGGCAATAAAAGCCCAGATCCCGGTTGTCGAAGTCGGCTACAGACTGCATGAGAAAACGACGGGGAGAATTTGAATATGGAAATCCAGGCGAGTGCAGCTCGTGATGCGTAGATAATTTAGTCCGAGAGCAACCGCAGTCGTGTTGTATCCGTGGATAAAAGTCGTCTCCGATCAAAGAAACAGGCAAACTGTGGGGAAATAAAGGGAAGAAAAGGGGCAGTCATTCACAGTGCGGTGTTCCTGTTCAACATCATCTTTTACGCTCCGTTGCATCACCTCGCTGTCAAAGCTGAAGAGTGGGCAGGTGTAGTTTTTCGGTCGGTGTCGTCTATCCTGATGGTTTGAATGTGGAATCATCGGCGTTACAGTTTACTAAAGCAGTTCAGAGTTGACAGGTAGTTTCCTTTTCCTATTACAGTGAAATGAAGAGGTTATGGTCTGGTGCGACAAAACAACAGGAGTTGTTTGTTCAGAGTATTTCTTTGTTTCTTTTTTTTTTTAGGCATTTAACTGATAATCCTGCCACTAGAAACAGCAAAGTTTCTAGTGGCCTGATTTATTTCTGTAATAATAAGTAAGAGATTAAGCTACATTTAGGTGGCGACTGAAACCATTTTCAGCTTGGTCAGCCAAGACCCCGGTGTTCAGCTGGTCAAAAAATAAAAAATGTACCTTTTTCTGATTGTTGAATGAACCATATTTAAGTTGTTAGTTACGTGGTCAAACTAACAACACCCTTCAGCGTGGAGAGAATTGCTCAGGGAGGCAAACTAAAAGTTTGTGATTTTCAGTTCCTGTGTGGGATTTTAAATTATATTGCTGGAAGCAGAGAACGGTTTAAAGCCGTGTTTCTCAACCCTGGTCCTCACCGCCCCCCTGTCCTGCATGTTTTAGGTGTTTCCCTTCTGCCATACACTTGAATTGTATCTCTGGGTGATTAACAGGCTTCTGCAGTACTTGATGGTCATGCAATCATTTGAATCACCTGTTCTGGAGTAGAGGCATACCCTGGTGAGGACCAGGGTTGAGAAACACTGGTTTAAAGGGAAGAATCTATTTTAAAAGAAACTGAAAAAGACATGATAGGATATTTCTGCAGTTCAGTTAAGCAGAGAGCTAGACCTTCAAATGATAACAGGAAGGCTGATTGCGGTACAACAAAGGTGATTTATCATTTGAGTTTATATTGAGTTTGGAAATGTTGGCAGCTTTTTGTAAATCTGAGCTACATTAAGGCTACAGAATCCTCACACGCTACTGTTTTAGGGATGCTAGCTGCCCCAATCAAGCTAATTGCTACCTTAGCAATCTGTATCATGTTTTTGAGCATAATATGATAAACTGTTCAAAATATTAACCACTGAATCATTTTATATTTGGTTTACATTAATATAATAACACAGGCTACAGTTTTAGGGATGCTAGCTAAATCAATCAAGCTAACTGCTAGTACAACATGATAAAATGTTCAAAGTATCAACCATCATTTTATCTTTGATTCACAATAAAATAATAATCCAGTTTACAGTGACACTTCTCTTATACACTGTAGGATGTTACTTTTGCTCTTAATGTAAATAAATAAGTGCTCAGTAGGAAGGCTGGAATGCTGTTCTCACATCTTCCGATATTTTAGCTCTGAAAATGAGAATTAGCTAAAGTCGGTATCAGCAGATAAAATTAGAGGCTAAAAACTGGTCACTAATTTATAATCTCTGATAATAACATCAGACACCACACCACCTTGTATTGCAGATCAAGCTAATGTTCTGCAGGGAAAAGAGTCCTTTAGCGTGCGCTGACAGTTTTTATTTCCATTCTGACTTTAATGTGGGAGGAGAGGGGGGAGAAAACACAGTTCCATTTAACAACTGAAACACTTGTGGGCAAAAAGCTTTTTTATTGTGAATATTTGGCTTTTCAACATGTTTCCTAATGCTTCAGACCACATTAGCTCCACTCAGCTGTGAATGTGTGCATGTTTGTCTTCTTAAGAGGATTGATGTGTGCTGTGAAAGAAGAAGAGGGGCTGGTGGGACATCTGGCTAACTGACTGTAAGCTGCCACATCACTGCCCATTAGGAGTCATTAAGGCCCCGATTACAGGAACCACAGCCAGGAACATCAAGGGTCCGTCAGGTTATGACTCTTTTCTGGTCAATATTTCAAATATAGTTCATCTAAATGGTCATTTTGCTGTTGTTTGACTATAATGTAGAGCCTTTGTATGGAAGTACATTTGAGCCAAGAGTCTTCAGCTCTCGCAAGTCAAGTTTTGTAACGTTGTGCGATTGAATTTAAAGGAAGTTGAGGACTGTTGGACTTAAAAATATTATTTTGTGATCCAGGTTTACGTATTGTATTTGTGGGGAATATTTTTTGTTTGTCATTTAGTTGAGCTGTGGGTGAAAAAGTGGAAAACTTATCTGCCTGTTCCTCCTTGATTTAAAAATGCAATATTTTAATATATCTTTACGTCTTTGTTGCTCAGATCGATTCAACATTCACAAGTCAAACAAACACTTTGTTGCATTTATATTGCTGAGGAAGTAAAGATAGCTGTTTATTTATTTATCTATCTCCGTATACAAGCTTGGTGATTTTCCCTTTTGCCTCTTTGTACTTGCGCAGTTTCAATTTTCTGAACTTTTTCAGTTGCTGACCGTTTTGTTCTGACCATGCATCAATTCATGGCTCCAAAGGACATTTTGTTCCCGCTTTAACAACCGACTATTTAAAGTAATTTTCAATACTCTGCTACTAATTGTCTTCCATTAGAAAATAAGGCTTTTTGACTCATTTAGACTCATTTTGTGAGTTTAAGTGGCCCAGAAAAAGGAGTTAAAAGTCTAAATTAATAGACAAACAGTGCTATACAAGTTCTTTTGAATAATAATATATCAGATAATGAAATAGTTTGAATTTAATTTTATGCAGGATTTAAGCCATGTTTGGGGCATTTGCATAGAAACAGTGAAAAGATAAATGCATACACATGGTTTAAGTAATTGTATGCAAATAGTTTATTTACAGGAAAGAAACACAAGTGAGCAAGGAACAAATTACTGCATATGAAATGGAGTCTGATCCATTAAAGGGGTGAATTAATAATAAGTAAATATTTGCACTTTACACAACTGATCTAAAGTAAACACATCCTATTGCATTAGACTGGGAAAGAAATAAGTTTTACTCTGAAATCTTAATGAGACGGCAGTCAAAAGTGATATTTACCAGTTGCGGCATTATCCCTTTTGTCCAGACCTGTTTTATTATTACATTTTTTATTTTAATAATTCTGCTGAACCACATCTCAAAAACAATTTCCCAGTAGATTTTCAGTAGATTTTTATCTATTTTGACTTTTGCCAATTTAAAATGATTTAATTTAATCCAAATGTTTTGCAATGTTCTTTTTTGATAAATCACTGTCCAGCCAGTTAAATCCAGAATAAATTGTACCAATATTTTTGACCTTCTTAAAAGCTGCAGCATGTTGCTATGTCTATAATTATTATACCTAATATAAAAATTATTTGTTTTTTTTAATTACAGGATTGAAATTGAATTATATTTTTTCTCCTCACTTTTTGTTTGCGTTATTAGTTCCTGAGTTGAAGTCCAGATTAACTGCTACCTCATCTGACCCAACACTTTGCACACGCAGGAGAAAATGCTTCACACAGAGACGCATCATCAGGTCCCATCTGAAGACAGCCTGCTCCTTCATGCTACACACACACGCACACACACACACACACACACACACACAGCTGGAAGGCTTTCTATCATGGTGAGATAACTACAGGCTGAGAACAATAGACCATCTCTTCTCCCATCTGGTGAACCGGAGGATGAAACTTCATTTACATTTCAGCCCCCCTCACACACACACTCCCTCCACTACCACCTCGCTCCTCTGGGTGTGTGTGTGTGTGTGTGTGTGTGTTCTTGTGCATGGATGGGCGGAGGTGTGGTAATAAAGGGAACAAAACGAGATTCATTTCAGGGTGAATTTGGGATTATGAATTAACATGCTGCAGTGCTGAAAGACTTCATTTACAGCTAATTGAGTGTGTTGGCTCATTAAAATGGCTGTTGTGTAAAACTGCTCTGCTTGGCCGCCCCTGGGCTGGGTAGTAGTGTGTGTGTGTGCGCATGCGTGCGCGTGTGTGTGTGTGTGTTTTTGGAGAAAAACCTAGTAGTTTAGACGTGTGAAATTAGATGTAGAAATTGTAATAAAATGTGACACCTTCTGCTCTTTTTCTCCCTTTCCTCGCTGTCAGGTGAGAAGCCCTATAAGTGCTCATGGGAGGGCTGCGAGTGGCGCTTTGCCCGCAGCGACGAGCTGACGCGACACTACCGCAAACACACCGGAGCGAAGCCATTCAAGTGCAACCACTGCGACAGGTAAACACTCACTTCCTTTCATTCGCACAGATTACTACCAAGCACACAGCACCGTTTGCATTTGTACAACGTCTTAAGGTAACAAGGATCAATGTTTATCCTGCGACTGGAGGCACAGTGGGTCAATTTGAGACCCATTTCTTTCCTCCTGACGGTGTTCATATCCTTTTTGCATTTTCTCACTTTAGAAACTCACACTTTAATGTATTTTAGTGGGATTTTTTTGTGAAGGACAACATAAGTAGACCTTGATTGGGAAGTGGAAGGAGCCCCATTTTTCTCTGCTTTAATCGAACTCCAATTCGTTTGTCTAAAAAGTCCAGTTTGTTTGGGAGGGCGTGAATGCCTAATCGAGCTCTGGACCGCCTACAAACCCAGGTCTCGGTTCGACCAGAGTCAGGTCTGTATGTTTGCAGTTAATAGTCGTCTCATTGTTGGTAACTCATCAGCTTTCTTGCTGTATTTAGCAACATTTTAGACAAAAGAAAATAGTGTCGGCCAAAATCAGAATCGGCAGGTCAGAATTTTTAATCGATCAGAAATCTGTGATCGGCCAGAAAACTGCAATTGGTGCAGCCCTAATCCCAGTGAATGATAAGAGTTAAGCTGGTCATCAAAAACTAAAAAGCATATTCCCCAATTATAAAATTACCAAGAGATCCCCTAAGCTGACAGACGGGGCTAAGATGGAGAGCTGCACAGCTCAGGTGGGAGAACGTTTCCAAAAGGACAAATATTAGTTATAGATTCCACAGATCTGGACTTTTTGAGAGAGTGGCAAGAAAAATGTTGAAAGAAAATCATAGCAAATCCACTTTATACCACAAGCCATGTAAAAACATGACAAACCAATGGAAGGAGGAGATTTAGTTGGTTCTATATTTTAACCAACACTGTACATTACCCTTAGCAAACAACTCCCATTGTGAGACATGGTGGTGGCCGCATCATGCTGTGGGGATTCTCCCCTGAAGTAAAGTGTGGGACAATGACCTTAAAGATGTAGCTAGAGCTACATTGAAAGCATATTTCTGTGTTAGAATGGTACAGACCTAAACTTAACACTTTATTTTTCTCTCCAACCAATCTAACCAAAGTATGTCATCAAATTTCAGCCTTTACTTGATCATCAAGATTTTATTTAGAATAAAAAAATCAACCCTTAAACCATTTCTACGTTTCGTTTTCTCCAAATCTCGCAATTATGTTTGGTTTGCGTTGGGGTGGGGGGGGGGGACGTTGTCTGCATGCGTTTTTAGAAACGGCATCATCCATTTTCTCTCGTTTTGCAGCAGCTCTCCGCCAATTAAAAAGCCACATCACTTAACTTGCAACAAAACATGTTCAAGCTGACATTTCAAGTAGCTCAAATAAGCCTCCAAATTAAGTTTCTCATTTTACTTCATCTCTGTTTGTTATAGCGGAAGAATGATGGGAGCAGTTTGCTGTCGTATCGCTGTACGACAGCCTTTCTCTCTGTCGACGCTGCCTCTGAACATTGGTTTTTAATGCATTCAAAGCAGCAGGGAATCAGACAGCTTCTTTGACAAATGATAAATAAAACAACATTTTTCATCCAGCCTCAATCTACAGGCGTCACATGTGGCGCTCGGGGATTGTAATGATCCATAACAAATTTCTTCTCCCCTTTTTGTTTTTTGCACACAAGAGAGATCAAGTTTTTTTTTTTTTTTTTTTTTTAAAAATAAAAAAAAAATTGCAAATTAGTCGTTTTGAATTGTGAACGTTTCCTTAAGAGAGGCTGTGCGCCTCTAGCAGCTGCGAAGGAGCAGCTCGGAGGGGAGATTTTTATCTTGGAAGAGTGATAAATATTCAACACTACAGCTCATGGTGTAGTCAATTTAATGATAAGGAATGCTATTACTCTAAATTAAGTTAGTTCTTAGCGGATTTATATTTCGAAAGGGAGAGAAATGAAGATGTGGGCGGGAGGCAGGTTTGCACACGGAAATTGACTGCAGATGTATTGGCTTTTGAGGCTGTGCTTTCCCAATCGATCCTGAATCAATTTGTTTGTTGCACCGACTCGTGTCCGGTCCAATTTGAAGGAAAACAAAGCCGAAGCAGACGAGAGGATGTGTGTTTTCTTTTTTTTTTTTTTGAACCAAAGACAAACTGAAAGACTGAAAGCCGGAGCTGTATTTGTGAGTCACATTGTCACTGTTTTAGTTTTTGCTCCTCAAGGTTGGAGGTGTGTGTGTGTGTGTTTGTATCCATGTGTGCTTACTCATGCCCTTGTTAAATGGATTCAGGCTATTGGCAAGCAGGTCGCAGCTAATTGAGTGGCACCAGATGCCAGCTCCACTTGAACATGCACTCCCACTCCGTGTGTGTGCGCGCGTTTGTGTGTGTGCCTCCCCTACCTTCCAATTTATTTCACACACACCAACTTTCACCCGAGAGAGAGAGAGTGTAATTGGCTGTTGTGGGTTCCCTCTAGTTTTGGTTTAACACGTAAACCCCCAAAGAAACCTGCTGGAAGCGTCTAATCCAGGCTGGGAGCTGGGGCTGCATTAGATCCTGTTTGCAAAAAAGAAAAGAAAAAAAAAAGAAATGCAAAGTCATGTTGCATTGCATAAATTAATATATACACACAGATTTACAACTGAGGCAAAACAGCTTGTTTGATGTCATAGATTTTGGCTTTAATCGATAATTTATTCTTTTTTTTCTTCACACATTGAAGTCGTTCATCTTCAAAATGTAAAGGTTCTAAAAACGCTTCTGCTGTTCTCTGAACTGAAACATCCCAGCATTTCTACTCGGAGATGAATTCACCTGCATGCAGATTAAGCCAGGTCAGGTCACGGGGTCATCGGGTTCATTTGGAAGCCCGAGCGACAATCTGCAGAGAAATGCACTCAGGAGGGATCTTTGTCAAATTCTCCAGCCACCTCAGCTGATTCCTTTCGATGTGGATGAGAAGAGACAGATTTGCACAGATTACGGCTGACTTTTTTTAATCCCCCCTCAAAATTCAGAGAAAAAACTCAGAATATTTTTGTTTCTCGCTCTGTGACGTAAATTCATCTCCTTAGATTTTCCAGGAAGTTTTTTTTTGTTGTGGATGTTCATCTGATAGTAAACATTTTTGTCTATTTTACGCAACATCAAAGTGAAGCTTTCTGGTGTAATTGTCTCGTGTTCTCATAATAATATCAAAAAGGTAGCCTCATAAGTTTTTTTTTTTTTTTTCTGTGCTTAAATTCCAAAAATACATTAAAATATGCTTAATAGAGTCGAGAGTTTCGCATAATTCACACAAATGCTAAAGTACATCTGCGGTGGGAGGAGTCCAGCAAATATTACCATGAGAATAGCAAAAAGTGGCAGCCAGAGAAGTTAATATTTGATAAAATGTTCAGTCTGACAGTATTTCCCCAGAGGACACACACACACACACACACACGCCCACACACGCACACACACAAGTATGTTATTAATTCTGACTAATCAAGCAAAGACCCCCTGATGTTTCCGTGGAGCAGCAAGGAGGAGTGATGGGGTGGAGGGGAAACAAAAAACCAAAAAGAAGAAAAAAAAAAGAGAGAGCCAAGATGAAGAAAGGAAGCAAAGAAAGAAATCTGTGTGTGTTTCAGGAGATTGAGAGTGGGAGGTTACCAGCTGGAGTAGCCGCTACGCCCCCCTCTTTCCAACAGTGACACAGTAACTGGCATGACCATCTGTCTAGCCACACACACACACACACACGCATGCAGAGAGATCAGTGAAGGTGTTACAGTAGGTACCACATGGCTGGCTGGGAGCTAAAAGGAAACAGTAGACCCTGAGACAACAGAGAGCAGAGTTCAGCTGTAAATGCGCTCATTGTTTACTGTAAGGCCTCAACGCGTCCAGCCGCATTCTGTCTGCACCATGTGGTTTCAGCCGATCCCTAGAACCTGCTGCCATTGCTAAAACAACAAAAACAATAATAATAAAAAACAAAAGACCAGAGAGAGAAAAAAGACGTTTGCCCTTGTTGTGCTGGTATACTCACTTGGTAAAATAAATTCTACTTTTTTGTTTTTGGCATCCTCAAACTTGCATTGTAGCTGCGATCCAGTCAGCGGCGACTAATCGGTGTTCTGGCACAATCTCGGGTTGCTGGAAATCTGGAAATTTATGCTGTCGCTACACACATTCAAAGGTTGTTACTGTTGTTTTGGTTGCCTAAAAGAATTGGACATAATGTCGCCTGGTTTTAATTGTTTAGATGTTTGTGACGGTGCCAAGTGGTCAACCAGAAAGATAAAAACAGGAAGAAAAAGCATGCATGGATTACATTTACAATGGGCCCCTAGTTTCCCCCAGAAAAATCGCTAAGTCCAGTGGTTGGGTGCCAGGGCAGTCATTTGTCCAGCAGCTTGTCGTGTTTTTGAGTTAAAAAATGTTTAAAGTTGACAGGAAATTTGAAAACATCACTTGATAGATATGTGTTATTGAAAGATTGGAAGACTAATACCTGAACACCAACTATACAATCTAAAAAAAATGCAAACATTTTAAAAAGACTTAAATAAATAAGCAATGCTTAGCCTGTTGGGGGCTCAAGTAAAGCCTGGTGGCCCGCCAGGCTTGTAATACTCTGGGGGGAAACCCTGGGTTAGGGAACCCAGCCAATATGAGACCCCTTCTAAAATGCTTATATCCTGTCTACATTAATAGCCAAGTCACCTTAATATTCATTAATATTCACAGTGGAATCCGACTTCTCTCTACCTCATAAGCCAACATCCCTGGTTTTCTACTGGTCTAAGCTAAATCACAGAGGAGGTCAGCAGATGCTGAGCTGTATAATAAGCAGATGTTGTGAACTTACTCCAGATACATTAGCAACAGCATGTGCTTCCAGACTTTATGTGACCATAAGTTTGGATTTATAACAGCTTGCTGAGAGTTTCCTGGACTTGCCTTTGGGAAAATAGATGCACCCAATCGTACATCTCAGAGTACAGAGCAAAGTGTTGGATGCAGTGTGTAAAGCATGTCACCACTGGACTCCATGTGGATCTCTGGAGTGATGAATTTTGCGTCTTCATCTGCCAGTTCAGTGGATGTATCTGGGTTTGGCATTTAGAACGGCACA